TCTGAGAGCAAGGAGAGGGGTCTGAGAGCAAGGAGAGGGGTCTGAGACCAAGGAAAAGGGTCTGAGACCAATGAGAGGGGTCTGAGACCAGGGAGAAGGGTCTGAGACCAAGGAAAAGGGTCTAAGAACAAGGAGAAGGATCTAAGACCAAGGAAAAGGGTCTAAGAACAAGGAGAAGGTTCTAAGACCAAAGAGAAGGGTCTGAGAGCAAGGAGAGGGGTCTGAGAGCAAGGAGAGGGGTCTGAGACCAAGCCCTGCTTCCCACCTGGGCCTCACCCCAAGGTCAGCAGCCCGTCTCCTCCGTGACTGTTTTGGGAATCAAAACCTTTTTGGGGAATTCCACCACCACCCCCCTTTCCCCGTGTCCTGCTGGTTTGTGACCTTCCCCTTTCTGCTGCTGGGGGGGGAAGTTGGCTGGTTTGTGAGGGGGGAAATCCTGCTCTGCTGGTGGCTTGGGAGCTCTGGAGATGAAAAAAAAAACAACCTCAGTCAAAACAGTCCTGGCCACAGAGGGCTTGGGGAGAATCCCCGAGGAACTCGGGAAAATCCCACCTCAGGACTCAGAATTGAAGGTCACAAGTGAGTATTTGCAGCTTTGTGGAGGGAGGTGGCCTGGGAGGAGGGTCAGACTCAAAATAAATTCATGTTGAGGGTCTTATTGCAGAGCAGAGAGACCAGGGTTGGTCTGGAATCCTCTTTTCCTGGTGGGAAAGGTGTTGGACAGCAGAGCTCAGCGCATGGATTGGATTCCTGAAGAGGGAGAAGCCCTTTTATTTTATTTTTTTTTTGGAGAGTTCAGATGAATCTCAGTAAAAACCAGCTGGAATTTCGGAGGGGTGACCTTGGGAGGCAGAGCATTGGTCTGGTTTCCCTGGAACCAGTGCCTGGAAGGTTCTGGAGCTGCTCCTGGGGCTCCTTGGAGCTCTCCCTGAGCTCCTGCAGGAGCAGAGTCACCCCAGGGGTAATTCTGCCTGGTCCCTTCCCCAGTCCCACATCCCTTCATCTGGTGCCTCTCACGTGTCATGTGCAAATTTATTAAGCAAATTAAGGCTGGTGAAAGCAAAAAAAAAAGCTGCCTGTGCTGCTCTGGCAGCTGCTGCTGGGGAAGTTCTGAGGGAAAAAAAAAACCAAACCATAATTCTGTGTGCTGATAATGTGTGTGTGTGTGTGTGTGAGCTGCTTTTCCTCACCAGAACCTGCGGAGGAAAACCTGGGGATGACCTGAGCTTTTCCTTTAAATTTCATTAATTATTAGTTTATCCCATTAACTATTTTTGAGGTGATTCGTGTCAATTTTTCCCAGTCAGTGGAATTTAAAATTTCAACCTTCTCCTTGGGAAATCTGCCTCTAAATCTGACCCTAAAATCCTGATTTTTCTGGAGCTCCAGGTTTTTCCCAGATTTGCGTGTGTGGAACTGGGATCTTGCAGAGCTTGAGGAGAGGTGGAAGAGGAGAAGGATGAGAAGGAGAAGGAGGAGAAGAAGGAGGAGAAGGATGAGGAGGAGGAGAAGGAGCAGAAGGAGGAGAAGGAGGAAAAGGATGAGAAGGAGGAGAAGGAGAAGGATGAGGAGGAGGAGGAGGAGGAGGAGGAGAAGGAGGGGAAGGAGGAGGAGGAGAAGGATGAGGAGAAGAAGGAGAAGGAAGGAGGAGAAGGAAGGAGGAGGAGAAGGAGGAGGAGGATGAAGAGGAAGAGGAGGATGAAGAGGAGGGGAAGGATGAGAAGAAGGATGAAGAGGAGGAGAAGGATGAGAAGGAGGATGAGAAGGATGAGAAGGAGGAGTGTGGAATAGGTTTTTAGGGGAGGCTGGAGCTGGGAAGCAGATTTGGCCCATGGGAACCATTTCTTCCTCTCTCCCCCTGCCTTGGGAAGGGTTTAAAAGCTGAATTGCTGCAGCTCCTCTTTGTTGATGCCTTTGTTGGTGTTTGCACGAGCTGAATGTGGCCCAACCACTTTATTTTTAGGGTGTGTGGGGCCTCGTGTGCCCCACCCCCAGCAATCCCCCGGGGGCCAGGGGATAATAACCACCCTAAATAACCACCCTAAACACCTCTTAAGTGCCTCCTTAACAACCAGGGCTCTTCAGGATCCTCTGGTTTGGTGTTGGGGGTTCACCAGAGCCTGGCTGGACTGAGGGGTTTTCATTTTAGGGGAAAAAACCCACCATGGATGTTTATTTTCACTTTGGGATTTAAGGTCCTGCTATTGATGCTCTGCCCTTGGTTTGATTTGGTGTTTTCATCCCTCTCCCATGATTTTAACCTGATTTTCAGCTTTCCCTGCTTTAAGTTAGGTTGGTTTTAAGAGCTCCTCTGGCTTTCAGAGCCTCTGTGTCATTGCTTTCCCCAGGCAGCATCCTGAGGCTCCAGAGCCTTTAAGCTTTTGGGGAAATCCCACTTATTTAATGTATTTAATTTAAAAGCCTGTCCAGAGCCTTCTTTTTAATTTTAAGGGCGTTTTTGTGGCCTTTGGGGCAAAAGGTGTTTTTTGTTTGGTCGTTGGAGGCAAACCCAGAGGGTTTGTGGGTCTTGGAGGGGGAGGGGCCTGGGGGACCCCAAATTTAGGGGTCTTGGAGGGGGGGAGGGGCCTTTAGGGACCCAAATTTGAGGGGTCTCGTGGGGGAGGGGCTTGAGGGACCCAAATTTGGGGGGTCTTGGTTGACCAGAGGACCCAAATGGGGGGGGTGGGGGGGGGGAGGGGCTTGAGGGACCCAAATTTGGGGGGTCTTGGTTGTCCA